CATTTCTATAATACATCAGTGATATTTCAATGGAATAAATTACTTATTGACTTATTCATACTTCAAAAACAGCATCAATAAGTGATTAACATTGGGGGGATCAAAATAAAATAAATAAATTAAATAAAAATCAACCAGCCACCCTCCTCCCCTGACAAGTAAAGAACAGTCCCTTCATAAGTAAAGAACAGTCCCTAAAGTGCGGTGAGGTTTGTGGGCCGTTACCTGCCACAAAGAGAAATGTGAACGGCTCGTTTCTCCTCTGACACGTCACATACCTGTGTGCCGCCACGGCTCGGCTGTCCAGGTACTTTTGGGCAGTCATGACACCAAGAAGAGGACATTATTGGAGCCGGGCTTCTCTGTCGTCGGTAAGCCTATGGCCGCCGTATTTGAGAGGAATACATTCTTGTCTGTGTCTGTGACCCCCGTTCAACCCACAACCAGTGGGATTCGCCTTTCGTTTCTGCTGCTGGTTGAAATCTGTACTCGCACAGCGTGCTGAATGATTTATTTTGCTCGAACAAAACTTTTTTTAGTCGCAAATGCGAGTGCAGTGACGGACGGAGTAAAATATCGCCACACTGCCGACATTTTACTCTGTCCATCACCGCACACTGTTTGATTGCGTTATCAAAACACGCCGCTATTATTCGGCCTTGCTTTTAACTTATTCCACCGAATACCGAATGTGTGTTTTTTTGCAATATTCGGCCGAATATATTCGGTTACCGAATATTCGGTGCATCCCTACTATTGATACCAGCAGGTTTTTGTGACAGTTGCAACAGGTCTGCCATTGTCGTGATATTGTCGCATGATGTCCGTTTAGCACAACATGAAAAGCTCCCAGAAATGGCCCTAGTTCTGAAAAAACTTTTGCTGGGTTATATTCACATTCTTTTTCCCTGTGGTATCATAAATGCTAAGAAATATCAATATATTTTCAAGACTTTGTAACAAAGTTAGAAATTCCAGTATCATGACAACACTATCACTTTCTTGCTGAGAGCAAGATGGCAAGATTGATACCACCCACTATCTGTCCCTTCCATAGATTCTAATAGGCCTAATAACTAGATAACGGACCCCAAGATGGCGCCTCTTAGTTCCAGTGGAGTTGCTCTCCTGGTGCATACGCCAAAAAAGTTTTCTAGCTTCTGCATTTACCTCTGTGGTATGCGGCCCACTGAATATGCACAGTCGTGTTTCTTGCACTGGCCCCATTCGTGAGTTCCTGTTCGGCTCATAAACTGTACATTGTGAGATTTTAAATCGTTTTTCTCAGTGTAAGAAAAGTTTTTCGGATATAAAACCACCATGGCTCAAAAAATCATAATAGAATGATTCGTAATTGAGCTTGTTTGCAGTTCGAGGTGTCCCTTCAACAGTTTCAGAGGCATGTCTTTTGCAATGGTGGCCTATGGGGAAAATGCTTTTTGGGCTGCAAGGGATTGTATTCGCTGCATATCTGCAAGTGGCCATTGGGAAACATTTGCTGCAAGGCTGAGCGGCTTTCCAGACAGCCTGGCCCCTTCTCTATGAAGCTACAGTTAGCTTAGTTTAGCTAGGGAGCAGAGGGTACAGCAGCTAGCCTGTTTAACAGTAACAAAATCAACCTATTAGCACATCTAAACCCACAACACATTAACATTATTGCTTGTTTGTTTATTTTGTACAAAACAAGCAAACAAAGTGTAAAAACAACACTTTTTTGTCAGGTAAACAGCTAGAATGGTGGGATTGAGCCGGGCTATCCCAGGCTAACAGATTAGCTTTTTCTATCTGTTTTCAGTCTTTATGTTAAGCTAAGCTAAGGTAGGCATCTCCTGGCCATACTGTAGCTTTGTTCTTTGCGGTACGAGAGTGGTACCAATCTTGTTATCTAACGCTCGACAAGAAAGCCTATAATAAGTGCATTTTTCAAAATGTTTAGCTATTGCTTTAAAGCTCCTCTGGCTAGTTGTAGGAAAGTTACCAAGATTTCTTTTGGTTAACAGTAGTGGAAAGAGCTAGTTTTGTAAGGCTACTGATTTGCGCTCCTACAGAAAATATATTTTTAATATATATATTACATAAACTCATACTCCTGATGCAGACGCTTACTGAAATTGAGACACAGAAGTCGCTTGTGTGAATGCTCAGTAGATTGTGGGACTTGAGAAGCTCAGCTAGAGGCCACAGTGAGCAGAGCAGATTCAGGGCCAGCAGCTAAATTAGTGGCTTTGGGGAGAGAATGATAATCATGGTGGTGATGCAAAGTGCATCAGTGTGTGTGTGTGTGTGTGTGTGTGTGTGTGTGTGTGAAAGACAGAGATAGATGAAGAGAAAAGACAGAAGAGGAAGGAAGAAAGAAGTTGTCGGAGTGAATTAGTCATTAGTGGTGTTGAGGTCTCTCCCCCTAGCCTGTCCATTCTTTCTGCACGCACATATGGATCTCAGTTTTCCCACCGCGCACACATTCACACATACACACACGCATGCCACACTTTTCACTCAAACATGGATCTGCACAGATGTCCTCGGAGTGTTGTTAATCCCCCTGTTAGGTTGTGTTTCCTTCAGAGAAGGTCTAATTATCATATTCTTTATATATTCAAAGCAGATTTCTCTGTTTATTTGTGCATATTGAGGGTTTAAATTGGCATAGACGTGTGTGTGTGTCCCCTTGGCTTTGCAGTATAGCAGTGTGTTTACAAGTTGATATGAAGTGTTAAGCAGAGCTGTGAATGTGTGATTCACTGGAAGTGGGAGGAAGTGGAGAAGCAGACATTATTCCTGAGGCCCAGAAAAAGAAGCCTTTAAAAGGTCAGTCGTTGTTTTCTTTTTTTGTTTCTTTCGCTCTTTTGTCTTCCTCCGGCACATCCATCAAACCCTAAACTTTTTTTTTCTTGCTCGACCTGTCTTACCCTCAGCCTGTCCACCATTTCTTTCCAGTTATCTTTACATCCCTTCCCACCCTCCACACCTCCTTATGGTGTCAAATACAAGGCCATGTCCTGGGGTGTCACAGCACAGAGGACAACTGCAGCTGGCACCTCATGATGTGCCGCGTCTCCATAATTACCAGTCGAAGGCAGGAGAACAAGATCATTTGTGCCTGCGATTGTAGCTAGGTGTGGCTCAGCACACTGGCTGCGCTGTAGTCTGCAGTGATGTGATGCAGCGACAGCGTTACACAATAAGAGCAGCCAGTGAACTCACTCACCAGTCTCTGTGTCTTCCTGTCCTTGTCTGTTCTCTATCTGTGTCTCGGTTTGATTGTGTCTTCCTCCGACAGCACTGGCTGTCTCTCTGCCTGCACACAAAGAGATAGATGAACCTGGCTGGCCCCTCACTTTGCCTGTTTTTCTCTCCTCTCCTCGTGGCTCGGGTTTATTGAGTTCCTCGATTTGTACTGATAAATTTGATCATAAAACTCGGAGCTGCGCAATCTCGTCTTGTGCAGGAGCTGGTGTACAGTTTTATAACTCCTCTTTTGCTTGAGTATATCATAGTAATCAGGCTCCAGAGAGCATACTGCATGTATGTGTGGTGTATCGCAGTGTTAACAAGGTGCAGCTCATCTGTGTAGAGTTAAAACGACACAAGACAGCTGTGTTTCATGGAGCTGGAGTTCATCTTTTGCCAGTCAGACTGTGTTTTTCACCAGTTTAGGGACTGTTTGTTCTTTATGAGGGTGAGGGAGGTGGTGCAAAACAGGGGCGGCATGTCAAATAATTGTTTAAGCACAGGGGAAAGACATATGTTTTGGTCGGAGGGTCATGCATTTCAGTCAGTCACTCAGGGAGGCTCAAGGAAAAATATTTGTAGCTTCAGGGATAGTCAAGATAAGAAAAAAAAAGCCACATCCCAGCCACCCATCTTCTGATAAATAATGAACAGCCCCTTACTGCACATATTTAGAAGGCAGCTGGATTAAATCTTCTTTTGAAGACTGTAAATCTACATATTCCTTATTTAGGAGAAATATATTTAGATCATTAAAACATGTTGAAACAAAACCCTACTGGTCTTGAAGCCACCATTTTATCCTGCCAGACGTAGCATGAAAATAAAAGCTGTTTCGGGCTCCTGTTGCTTTTTGTTTAAAGACAAAGCCGAGCACAAGAACAGGCCCAACTGCTATTATAAATGACTTATCCACATATTATAGTCGGGACGCTGCGAGTGACAGTCAACAGTGTGAGCTCAGTGCACTAGCATGAAGTGGTATTATGTGCCAGGATATGACCAGTCGCAGTGAAATCACTCTTGAATGCTCCGAGCTGTGATAGGAGGAGAGCGTTGCCCTAGTTTGAGTCTGGCGTAATTATGTAATGCTTGAGTACCTGCAGCACCAGCGGCATGACAACTTCTGAATGTGAATCTGGGCAACGGAGAGTGCAGACAGGAACTGCACACCTCTTTTAAATCCTTTTACGTAGCATGCAACTTAATCTCATCTTGAGCTCGCAAGGTTTTTACTGACATTATGCACTCATTTGCTTATTAAGCATTCGACTGACACACTCAGCGCTCTCTCATTCTGTCCTTTCATCTCCTCAGTTTGTTTCTTGTTCCTGAATGTTTCTCCCTCAAACCTTTCCCTACTTCCTATTCCCCCTTACCACCATCCAGCCGCCCCAGCTTCCTTCCTCCAACCCTCCATCCCTCGCTCTCCGAGTCTCTTTCTTCCTGTGCCCCTCTCTTTTTTTCAGCTCTCCCCCTCTGTTCCTAATGCCACATACCAAATGGAGGGTGACAGTATGCAGCTGTGGGTTTTGTCCTCCAGACAGCATCTTAGAGAAAAGCTTAGCCCCACACACACATGCGTACAGACGGAGGGAGGGATCGGCACTAACCTGAGTCTTTCATCTGTCGCTTATATAATAGTTTTAAGATGGAGTTGCGCTGTGTGGTTTGCATACGTGATGCAGTCAGACATGGAAGTCTTTGCAGTGAGGAAGATGGTGAATCATAAAGTAACAACACGCACTTTCCTTTGTTTGTTTCTTTAGAAAGCAAAGCTCCATGCTGCCTTGCAGGAGAAAAATCGTCTGAACCTTGAGCTGATCAACCAACACCTGAAGACGTCCAAGTATGACCAGGTATGGCGTTCACCCGTGCAGTGTACAAGCAAGGACACACACACAATGATGATTAATGGTCAACCAGGCCATGATCAATGGTAAAATCTATTGCATGTTGCACCAGGGGCCACACATCACATGCTCACGTCTTGTAAATGGCTGTAACATCAGTCATAGGTTTGAGTCTGCGATCCATATCTGCAGATCGATACACCTGCAGCCTTGTTATCATCATTATATACTGTGTGTCATTAAGTGTTGCCTCTTTATATTCTTTATGTTGCTTCTTCATGCACAGGATGTATACATGTACCATTAATGTCATGTCTTAGACGCACACATCAGCGCTACGTTTCCTTTCCCTTCATTATGTCTGTACTGGCACAGTCCGCCAGCGTCTCTCCCACTTCACACATGCACCCATAAACACGCACACAGACCCAGACGGAGACAGTCTGTGATGGTAGGCGATTAGCTACTCTGGCGCTAATAGTGACTTTCACAGAGGGGGCAGATTTGACACGTGTCCAGGGACTTAGCTTCGGAGCTTTTTGCTCCACCGTGCCACACAAAAAGATGCCATCTGTGCGCCGACAAGGTGGGCACGGAGATGAAAAGGAAGTAGGGGCAAAAGTTTCTCCAGTCCCAACAGATATACAGTAGGAATTAGTGCGACTGGCGCATAAGGGCAATCTTGGCAGAGATGCAGGCAGCATTTGGTGGTGGAATGAAAGAGGGGAAAAGAGAAAGATGGAACATGAGAGTGAGAAAAGAGGAGAGGAGAAAAAAGAAAGTGGTGATATTAGAGAAAGTAATCATGAATATAAATTGAACTTTCTCTTAAGTCTACTTGTCAAAGTTCAAGAGAATTAACTTTATTTTTTACAGTTTCAGAAGGAAATCGGGCTTGTACTGGACTCAAAGAAATAAAAACAAGCAGCTTATCAGAATCAAAGCAAACATTTGGAGACAGAAACCCTCAAGGTATACAGGCCTATACCCTCCTAAAACCACAAAACCAATGGAGACTGTCCTGCCGAACATCACCAGAGAGCATCAGAGCAGTCCAACAGTCATCAGTGGCCTGGCTAACAGTGACCACAGCGAGCTTGGCCTTTCCACCACAGACACAGAAAAGATGAGTCAGTTTGTTGCACTTAGCTGCATCTTGCATTAACAATTTTTGCTTTTTAGCTTGTAATTTTTTTTGCACCACACATTTCTTTTTCTCTTTGCCACTTTGCTAAGTGCTTTTACCACAGAAACTTCAGACAGATGGAAACTCTCCAAGATGAAATTTCCTGAGTCAATCAGATTTCAACAAGAATAAGATCGGGCATAATTGGGAGGGGCCACTCGTACCCCTCTCCCATTTAATATCGGAAGTATTAGTTTGGCTCAGTCTGACTGAACTGAACTTCCTGATGGCCAGTCCGTCCCTGGACTCAGTGTTCATGTTATTGTGTCCTCAACTTTACAGATTCATTAATGGTGAGTCAGGGTGCTGCGTCTTCACCTTTCCAGTAATTTCAGTTTTGAAGAAATTTGAACATTACTGATTAAATAGTACTGCTAAGGACAGAATATTTATTAAAGGAAGACACTAAAATATTAACATTTATTTTTTATAATTCAAATTTCTGTTGATTTTGGTTAGGGTGGTACATACCAGTTCTACACATCAAATGAGACATTCAATTTTGACAAACAAAAATAAAAATACAATGCAAACAGGGTAATAGAGATTCGTACAAGAGGGGTTACAGCACCAGTCCCAGTCCACCAAAAACAATCAAAATAACAAAATTAAATCTGAATAAATAAACACATTAAAATTAATAGTGATAATAATTTTTTTTAAAAATGAATAAATACAAAAATTAGGCAGGGCAAAATGAAACAAAAATCACATTTCCAGACTCCGAGACAATGCGAAATAATTCCAAAAAAATCCCCCCAGATTGGACCTTGAGCACGGTTAGTGATCGTAGTGAGCATGGATTCGTAAGAGGCAGTTTTTGTCATATAGGTAACCCATTCTTTTACTTCTGGGGTTTCGATGACTTCCAATATGAGTATTGTTCCTTTTACACATTATGCACTTTTGGTCTGACCCTAATAAACACAGTCTCGGAGACACTGGCAACGTCTTACCTAGCCATTTACTCATGTGCCGAATGAGTGGACAGTCCCAAATACAGTGTCTTCCTGGCATTTCCAACATGAATCATGAACCCATCCTAAGCAGCCTGGCTGGTGTCCAGTAGTGTCTGTGTATTATTTTACACTGTGTGAATGTGCTCTTGGATTCACTGACATAATAACGACTGTCCAGTCGGAACCCATCGGCTATATTCGGCGTCTGACTTCCGGCAGACGGCGATACAGCCTCTGGGGGCAGATCCCCGATTTTTTGGCATTCCGGTTTGATTTGGGCGGAGGAGGTGAATTTCCATTTCCGACTTCCGTTTATATATAAGTAAAAATGCTGAACCATTGCGATGGATTCAGAGTTTGCAGTGACGCCAATTATGTTCCGCCTACAATCGGAAACCAGGGCTCTTCCGCTCTTCTTTCGGAGGCAAGATCTCCGGGGTTTGCCTACAGACTGTACATTCACTGAATGTAGAGTCTGTATATAGAGACTAACGACTGTCAGACAGAATTTTTAACCATTGCTCTTAGTCCGGAGTACGCCCTAGGTCTGTCTGCCATATTACTTTCAAGCTATCACAGTTATTGCTGAGCATACTAACACATGGTTTTATTACCAAACCACTAATTTTAATGTTTGATTTAATGTCTTATTTTGTGTTTTAGTATGAGTTTTTTTTTACCTACCTAATTTAATTTATCATGTAAATCATCTTTGGGTATCGAGATAAATGATTATTGTCCGACGTGATACAGCACAGATGGTACCAGAGCTCCACCCATAAACTCTACAATAGGAATGAACTCATTTCCTTTGCAACAGTCTAGTTTTGAGCACTTTAAGTAAGCGAGCTTATCTATTGTACGGCCCTCTCTTGTGCTAGTTAATGAGATGATTGGTGTACGGCCGAGGGACGGTTCTGCTCGATCCTGTGAGACAACCTTTAGAGGAACCAGCTCAGCTAAAGGCCCCTGACTGATGAGGGAACGAGAGGCAGAACGCTCAAGTCAGCAGCTCTGTCTCATCAAGGCTAAATTGAAATGTGCTGATTAATTTCTCTTCAGACTGTGAACTCCCCATCAACCCTCAAGCAAAAAAAAAAGAACAGCCTCTATTCATAAATGTAAAATGTAGGTCTACTGCAAGAACAAACCTCATAAAAATTGCATGCTTGTTTTTCTCTCTAAAAAACAGAATAATGGCTACATTTTGAAGCTCTTCATGTAAAAAAAAAAACAGAGAGGAAATAAAAGTGTTTCCCCTCACTTTGTTGTGTTTTTCTGTTTGTCTGTGTCTCCGCTGACTTTTTTACGGCCTTTTATATCCATGTTGTTTATAATCCTCTTAACCTCCTCTTGCTCTTTTTATCTTTTCCTTGTTCCTCCCCGCCGTGCATCTGGACTCTTTCTGTTCATGTAGGTGCGATCAGACTATGACCAGCTGAGACAGACCTTTGCTGTAGTGAGCCAGGAGAGAGACGTGGCCCAGCAGCAGAGGAGCCAACTCCAAAGCAAAGTAGAGAACCTGGAACAGGTTCTAAAGGTGAGACGTCACCACAAAAATGTTTGCTTTCCTCCCATATAAACCTAAATACAAATATCACTTAAAGGGGACCTCTTATTTTCTGTATAATGTTACAGTGTCAGTTGTTTGGATGAAACGTGGTTGGAAATAATGAGGTAAACGTGTCTGAAAGTAATCCCCGTGAGCATAAATCTCAGGCATCAGACCGTTTTGAATACTGTTTCTAATAGTTTTTTCTACTTAAGAGACAAGCTAACGTCAGCTCATGACAGATTTCTCTCCATGATCATCTTCTCCAGGCATGCCCCTGCAAGTTTTTACATTACATAGCCTACACTGCTACATATAGCAACACTCTAAAGTCAGGGAAACATGTAATCTTGATTGCTGATGTTATTTATTTCTCCCTGATTTCGGATCATATTCAACCAAAGATTTTGGTTTAGATATCTGTTATCTGGGTTGGTTTTTTTTTACAGTAGGAAGTGCTGCTATACTCTGATACAGTCATTCCCCGGCTGCAGTGATGGGGCAGAGATGCCAAGATGTGAAAGACCTAGAAATGCTGACCAATCAGAGCATACTGGGCTTTTTCGGGAGAGGGGTTAAAGAGACAGGCAATAAAATGGAGCATTTCAGCATTGAAAACTGTACATTTCCTGTGGAAACATAAGTGTATTTTGGAAAGGCACTATGTGTGTAACAGGCTGAAGTTGACACATTGTCCCTGAATGTCCACAACAGACATACCCAGGCTATGTTGCATGTCATGTGTAGACATGAAAATTCCACGAAAAAAGCTTTGATATGAGATGAAGTCTGAATGAGAATGTGTTGGAAATACAAGTATGAACTTAAAAATGAGTATAATAGGTCTCCTTTAAGTATTATTTTATTAACTCCAGCTTTTTATCTTTCCATTCATTTTTTTCTTTCTTTCAGTGTCTCCTTCATCCACCAGTATTCTTTTGTGTGTTCATAATTAAATACTTGCATTTTATGTTCTTTACAAGTGACATGATGGTATATATTTCTTGTTATAATTTAAAGTATTATTACGTTTTTTGATTTTATGACCAATTGTACATACAGAACATATTCTCATACAATGGTTTGTATGATATCCTACGAATTACCACCCCAAGAATAACGTTATGTACTTAACGTAATGTTATGTACTTGTTCGTATGACAAACAACTAAAAGAAGCAAGCATGAAATTACATATACACATATATACATATATAGCAGTAGATTGGTGTTAAACTGTCACTGAATTTATATTAAAGACGTAACAAAATATTCACATAAAGAAAAAGGTGAAATATAAAGAATACAAACATTAACTCCAAAACTATTTTGTACACAAATCTTTTTGAACTACTGGACTCATTGGCCCTCATTTATGAAACAAATGTATGACAGAAAACTGAGCGCACACTAATTTACATGCTTAACTCGGCATTAACAAGTATTTAACGTAAGGTTATGTACTTAATGTTAAAGTTATTGTGGTTTGGTTTAGAAAAAGAAACATGGTGATCCGTACCTTAAAATGACTCAAAGGTTGCTCAAAGTTCACATGGTTCCAAACTTGAGTCTCTGGTGGAAAGTCCTGTGTTTTGTGACCGCTCCACCACCCCCAACCTGCCTCCTTGTAGGACCGCTTCCTTCTTTACTCAGCACATTGGTCATGTGATTGCAGCCTTTCCAAGTACATGGGTTACGCACAAATTACTGGCCCATTATTACATGCAATATGTACAAATTTTGGTGTATAACTTTTCACAGGAAAACATACCAACAGTGCATGAGAACAGCCTGACGTACAGTATGCTTGATAACCTTTTTACATTTTGATAAATCCTGTCCCTGCTTTCTCAGCAAAGGACAACCTTTGAGTCCTGAATCATCTTTACTGTAGTGCTGGGGTAGTTTTAGTTATCTGGGAAAGTAAGAAGTAAAAAAAAAAAAAAAACATGTGGCCAGCTACAGATAACTTCATAATGTCAGAAGACAATTTTGAGTATTGTGGTAGAACTCAGAAATCTTGTCAGTGTTTCAGTGCTGAGTTTTACCTGAAGAAACAAAACTCTTGGATTATCAAAAGACTCCATTTTGCCATTTTTCATTTATCACCCCAAGGCACAGAAGTGAGATTTAATTATCTGCAGTTATGGATTAAATTATGAAAATTAATCTAAATTTAGTTCAGGAATTGATACCATAAATCTGGAATAGTTTCCTCCTCATCACGCCCATTCTTTGGTGGAGAAGACCACTGAGTAATATATCTCTAAGGCAAACTCTACATATCTTACTGCTGAGTAGACAAAGCAGAAAATTTAGGAAGACCCATGTCTTAACTCTTTATCCTCCTTCATAACCCCCGATTCTATCTGCCCACTTATTCAACGACATACTGTATATCGCAATACATTTCTCCAGCACTCCCATCTGCGCTGGTTCATCCCTCGTTCACTTCAGCGGTGCTGCTCTGATAAAACCATTCATCAGATTTGGAGATTTTTCAGGCCCAGTTTTCGCCGTCTCTTCTGGAAATATCCCCCGTTTCCCATGTGTTTGTTTTCAAAGAAAACTTTAGAAGGGAAAGTGATGCAACTCGCGAGGTGAAGTGTCATCGGATTCATGGAGAGGCTCTTTTTTCATCGTGTTATGGTCTGCCAATAGTAATCAGACACAGTCTCAGTGCGCTGTGAGAGGCACTCTCATTACAAATCCTCGCCTCCCTGCATCTCCCATCGATTGTCTGTTTGTCAGGATATTTGAGAGAGAAATGTACCCATCTGAGAAAAACTGACCCGCTCCCTAATACAGCAAAGAAAGGTTTGTCACTTTCTCATTGTGTATTGATTATGAAGACAAAGAGACTATTTAGAGAAAATTACACAAGGCGATGTGGGTGGAGAAAGCAGAGATGGAGGAGACAAAACAAGGAGAAAAAAAACAGAAAGAGACAGGCTTTTTTTAAAGGCTGCTACATTCAAGCTAATGAGAAACAGCATATGTCTTGTTTTTAAGTTATATAATCTGGTAACAAAAGAGTTATTGTCCTATAGACTGTGGGGGAAGTAAGACACAAATCAGCCTCAGCACATCTAAATTCTGGGCCTTAACATCACGCGAATGGTATAATGCAACACAAATGTATAGTGGCTTTTAGATAAAGTGTCATGTTACAGGCATGTTACATGTTAAGCAGCACCAGTAGCCTTTAGCTGCTCGCCACAAGCAGAGATGAGGGGGCTACAGAGGTCTGGTAAACTCCTTGTTCTAACCTTTAGATTTCTTTAACCTTCAGACTAATACTCAGCCCCAACTGATGTTGCCTCATGTGACATCCCTTTAGGCCTGTGGTTCCCAACTGGTCTAGTCACAGGGTCCAGATTTCTCCTTAGTCATTAGTTCAAGGTCCAAACAGTTTAATATATTCAGCATCATATTTGCATTTGGCCATGTCTTCAAGCTAGTTTGCTGTCTCTGTCAAGTAGCTGTCTATTAGTAACTCACTCTGCAGCAGGAAATAGCACTTCAAAATAAGGGCTCTGTGCCGGTACTTTAAAATAAAGTCTGTGTTTTTGTCTTTTGTGGTCCATTCACTTTTGGGCTGTGACCCCCCAGTTGGGAACCACTGCCATAGGCCATTTATCAGACTTTGCACAGCTCCTTTAAATTTTTTTTGTCCGAAGTACAAGGATTTAAATTAAATATGTATTGTAAATTACACAGGTAGAAAATAAAAAGAGATTCTAAGTAGTGCAAGTTAAGACGAAGGGCATGCTGTGAAAAGTGTAACACATTAAACAGAATAAAACAAGAAAAACCATCTTACTTCATAAATCATTTTTAACATATACAGCAGTGCTCCTCAGGACCTGTAAAAAGACTTGATGTGTAAAATGAGTGGAATCCCCCTTTTCAGTCTGATTCAAGTCTCAGTTTTTAGGTCTCAAGTGTACAGGTTAACATGGCAGTCAACATCACCACTCTTAAAGATTTTTGTCTTCTTAAAACACAAATTGCCCTTTTCAACATGCTGCGGAGCATCTCCTCTTGTATTAAGACTTTAGTAATAGGAAAGGTTTGCAGTAGTGTAAGGGTTGGTGCAGCAGGTTTGTGTAAGGCAGGTTGTTAGTTTTAAAGGGACAGTTCAACCCAAAATCAAAAATACATGTTTTTCCTCTTACCCTTATTGCTATTGTCAGTTTACATTGTTTTGGTGCGAGCTGCTGAGTGTTGGAGATATCGGCCATAGAGATGTCTGCCTTCTCTTGAATATAATGGAGCTAGACGGCACGCAGCACGCAGCAAACAATACATTTGAAAAACTCAACAGCAATGTCTCCTCCCAGAAATCATGACCCGGTTACTCAAGATAATCCACAGACCTTGTTGTGAGCAGTTTCAAGTAGTAACTACGTTCCCTCTATCAAACCACACCAATCAACCGTTTCACAGCGCAGAAGGAAACATGCATCTACTAGGGGTGTAATGGTACACAAAAATCTCGGTTCGGTACATACCTCGGTACACAAGTCACGGTTCGTTTTTTTTCGGTACAGTAATGAAAAAAATAGACAACTATTAAATATCTTTTACTTATTGGTAACCTTATTAAAACATACCACCACAGCAGTTAACTCTTTTTACACAATTTTTGAATGAAACAAATATATATAAAATCCTGCTTTTTCACATTGTTTGAATGAAAATAGAAATATAAATGTGAAAAATAAAATCCTGCTGTTTTTTTAACACATTTTTTGAATGAAAAATATAAATATACATTTCTGCTTTAACAGTTTTACTCAATTAAAATAAAAAGTATAGTGCAGCTGGTCAGCTTTAAAGCCTGCTCAGATTCAGTTTTACTAGGAACTTACTTAGCTTTCCCACTTTGTTAAAGTGCAGTAAACAAAACATGCTTATATCTAAAGTGCAGCTTAAACAATTTTACTCAACTCCA